TTCTAAAACTTTCATGCTTTTGAAGGAATGGTGATGGTAAATTCTGTCTCAAGAAAAAAGAAACAACTTCCATGTGATATGAGAATAACAGTTTTTCATATTATGACAAAGTCACAGAAATAGCTAATATAAGGTACTGTTGTTTATTGCTACATTAGAATCGCAGAGAATGCTAACTTTTAGTTAGAGATTAGTAGAACTAAAAATGTAATTTTTCCATCTAAATTAATAGAAATCCTTCATTCCAGGTCAACAACCCTTCTAATTAATTGGTAGTTCCCAACTGGGAGAGATTTTGGTCCCTGTGGGACATGTGGCAGCATCTGAAGACATTATTTTGGTTGTCACAACTGACAGGGGGGTTGCTACTTGCATCTAGTGGGTAGAGGCCAGGGTTGCTGCTAAACATCCTACCATATACAACACAGGCCCCCAAAACAAAGGATTATGTGGCCCAAAACGTCAGAAATGTTAATGTTGAGAAACCCTGAATTAGAGGGGAAAACTTGCATGTGGAGAAACTAGAGTCAGGATGAAGAGAATGCTCTAAAGAGAACTGGGAAATGTATTACCTTGCCCCAAATGATATAAACCAGCTAAACCAGTTGTTAAGATTCTGACTCATGTATGTCAGGATTCCATAGATTTTCAGTGGCTGATTTTTTCAGAAGTAGATGATTAGTCTTTCTTCTGAGGCATCTCTGGGTGGACTCAAACCTTTCAACCTTTCAGTTGAAGTTAGCCTCAAAACTTTAACTGTTTGCATCACCCAGAGACTCCCCCAAATTACTTACCTAGCCCTTAAAAAGCGTGAAGAGTGTATCACCTCCACCACCACCACTCTCCTTAGTGCTGCTTGTGTTTAGGATCATAAATTTGGGCAGACACAAGGAAAGACCAGAGGTGCAGTATGGGCAGGGGAACAGGACATATCATTAAAGGAAAAGCAACTAATTCATGATACGTTGGACTTCTGTGCTTTGATTTTGCTTTGACTTGTTTTGTTTTGTTTTCTTCAATAACTGTATTAGGGAATAATCAGTCTTCTCCCTTTCCATTCTCATCCCAGGAGAAAGAAGTAGGATTGTGATTCTAAAGCCCTGTGCTTCTTACAATGCCCAAACTTCCCAGGAGGAAAGTAAACAGTGTTTGAGGTTTAGAGCCAATGAGGACAATTATGCAGATGTCACAAAAGGTGAGAGGGTGGAGGCTGGTGCTTTGAGGTGAAGTATGGAAACAGGCTGATGGGGGGCAGGAAGGCTGGCTTTCCCAAGACTAGCAACTAATGGCATGGCTGGAGGCTCAAGCACTGCAGTGCTGACTTTGGAAAACAGTCATAGGATGTGTAGGGAGGCTTGTAGAGAGCAGAGGCTAGACTCTCTGTGACTGAGCCCATGGTCAGTACAGAAGACTCTGGTGACAGGGACCTCTCTGATGCAGAGGACTGGGAGCAGCAATAGAGTGGAGTAGAGAGTTTAACGAGATGGCTTAACACATTGGCTGCAACAATGGGCAAACCTACCTACTACTGTGGGGATAGTGCAGGACCAGGTAACTCTTCATTCTGTTGTACAAAGTGTCCCTATGAGTCAGAACCACTACACCTAACAACAACAAAATACTCTGGTCTTTGTCTTCGGTTCCTGAGAGATACTCTAAACTCTTGAGCGGTAATCTAAACTCTTGGAATTTCCTGAGTAATTGAGGTGCCTTTACTATCTATAAGGAGCTCTGGTGGTGCTGTGTAAGGCTTTCAGCCGCTAATCAAAAAGTCAGCAGTTCAAACCCACCAGCTTCTCCACAAAAGAAAGATGAGGCAGTCTGCTTCCATAAAGATTTACAGCCTTGGAAATCCTTTGGGGGTCACTATGAGTCAGAATTGACTTGATGGTATTTATTATCTACAGGCCTCTAGACTACACCCAAGGATTTATGCTAAGGTTACTCAGGTGGGGGCTGGTCAGGCCAAAAAGACCACCTCATGATATTGGCCCACATCATAAGAGAAGGGGGGAACAAGAATCAAACAATCATACGTATGCAATGAGACCTCAATAAAAGCTCCAGAAGGGAAGCTCCATGGACTTCCTCATCTGTGAAAGACAGGATACTCATGGGAGGGTAGTGTGTCCCTCTTTAGGGCCTGGAAGCTATGCATTGGGAAATCTACTAGACCTTGCCCTATGTGCCTCTATCTTTGTATCATTTTCTGCTATAATAAAGCTCTGGTAGCATACTGCCTAAGGCACTTGACTGCTAACCAGAAGGCTGGCAGTTCAAACACACCAGCCACTCCCCAGAAGGAAGGTTGGGCAATCTACTTCCATAATAATACCACCTCAGAAACCCAAGCAGGGGTCGCTATGAGTCAGATCTGACTCCACAGCAATGGCTATGGCTGTAATTACAACGCTTTTCATGAGTTCTGGAGTAATTCCATTGAATTATCAAACTCAGAGTAGTAGTAGTAGCCAGCAGAGGCTGGGAACCCCTAAGCTTATGGTTAGCATACTGAGGGGGTAGAGGGAAACCCTGAATTTGTGGACAGCAAGTCATGAAATGAGAAAGCCTAGGAGGCAAGGAGGGGGATGGTAAGGCTGTGGCTGGCACCCTGAGGAAGTAGTGGGAAAACTCTGAATTTATAGACTTATTCAATCTATATGCTGAGCAAATAATCCGAGAAGCTGGACTATATGAAGAAAAACGTGGTATCAGGATTGGAGGAAGAATCATTAACAACCTGAGATATGCAGACGATACAACTTTGCTTGCTGAAAGTGAGGATGACTTAAGGCACCTACTGATGAAGGTTGAAGAATACAGTCTGCAGTATGGATTACATCTCAACATAAAGAAAACAAAAATCCTCACAAGTGGACCAATGAGCAGCATCACAATCAATGGAGAGAAGATTGAGGTTGTCAAGGAATTCACATTGCTTGGTTCTACAATCGATGCCAACGGAAGCAGCAGTCAGGACATTAGACGACGTGTAGCATTGGGAAAGTCAACTGCGAAGGAACTGTTTCAAGTGCTGAGGAGCAAGGATATCTCCTTGAGGACTAAGGTGCGCCTGACACAAGCCATGATATTTCCAATCACCTTGTATGCATGTGAGAGCTGGACAATGAATAGGGAAGACCGAAGAAGAGTTGATGCTTTTGAGTTGTGGTGCTGGCGGAGAATGCTGAAAGTACCATGGACTGCTAAAAGAACTAACAGATCTGTCCTGGAGGAAGTGCAGCCAGAATGCTCCTTGGAAGCAAGAATGGCCAGACTTCGTCTCACCTATTTTGGTCATGTTGTCAGAAGGGACCATTCCCTGGAGAAGGATGTCATGCTTGGTAGGGTGGAGGGTCGACGAAAGAGGGGGAGGCCTTCAACAAGATGGATTGATACAGTGGCTGCGATGATGGGCTCAAGTATAGCATGGATTGTGGGGCTGGTGCGGGATCGGGCAGTGTTTCGTTCTGCTGTGCATGGGGTCGCTATGAGTCGGAAACGACTCGACGGCACTTAACAACAACAATAGCCAGCAGGTTAGAAATGTGGGTACAAAATCAACACCTTAACTCAACATCTCCAACAATTACATAAAGACCAGTAAAAAAAAAAGCCTACAGTCACCAGAAGAAAAGAAACAATAAAGATGCAAGCAGAAATAAATGAAACAGAAAATAGAAAGACAATAGAAAAAATCAACAAAACTAGAAGTTGGTTCTTTGAAAAGATTAATAAAATTGACAAACCACGGGCAAATTTAACAAAGGGAGAGAACACAAATAACATGAATAAGAAATGAATTGGGCAATACCACAACAGCACCAACAGAAATTAAAAGGATAATATCAGGATACTAAGAAGAACTGGGAGCTCTGGTAGCGTAGTGGCTAAGGCACTTGATTACTAACCAGGAGGTTGGTGGTTCAAACCCACCAGCCACTCCTTGGAAGGATGATGGGGCAATCTACTTCCGTAGTGATACTGCCTCGGAAACCCAAGGAGTGGTCGCTATGAGTCGGGTCCAACTCGACAGCACATAACAACAACTACAACAAATTCGAAAATCTAGAAGAAATGGACAGATTTATAGAAACATACTACTTACCTAAACTAAAAGAGGATGAGGTGGAAAATTTAAACAGATCCATAACAAAAGAAGAAATTGAACAAGTCATAAAAAAAAAATTAACAACAACAACAAATTATTCCAGATATGTGCAAAAACAGTTGTTGTTAGGTGCCTTCGAGTCAACTCCAACTCATAGTGACCCTGTATCCAACAGAGAGAAACACTGCCTGGTCCTGCACCATCCTCACAACCCTTGCTAGGCTTGAGCACGTTATTGCAGCTACTGTATCAATCCATCTCATTCAGGGTCTTCTTCTTGTTTGCAAAAACAATGTATTTGTCAAATAATGTATAGGGAGATTAGAAAAGAAATTCCAGAACGTTCATTTTTCTTGCTTGGTAAAGGTGTATTTTCTATAAAGATTTGCACAGCTCAAAAGCATCCCAGCCTCTGCTGGCTACTACTACTACTCTGAGAACTTCTGAAGGGGAGGGACCTTTATTCTATGAGTTGACAGAATTTATTTTCATCTTTTACACATGGACCACTGAGGCAAATAATGTCACTCTGCTTCATGAAAGATCTTGTCACCCTGTAAGGGTCAGTTGTTCATGTACCCTCAGGGGCTCTCCAGGCTACAAGTGTGAAGAGCAGCCATGATGAAGGCTGCTGTGGAACCCTTTCCCCTTCTTCACAAATGGAACATGAAAAACTTACTGAAAAATGAGTTTAAAAGTCTCTCTCAAACTCAAACATAGAAAAGCTGTTGTTTTAAAGTTAAAATGGTTTGAAAAGTTTGTGATCTTCGCATTATATGGAATAGTCAACAACTCTAAACCAAAATATCCACCACCAGTGACCCCACACAGAATTTCCTTTTGTGACACATTTGCATGATGACCTTCTGGGTTGTCATTTCATTTCTGGTCACCAGGTCTCTGCAATCTCCGTGAGAACTTGCAGCAGCTCAGCAAACGCAGGGCGGCCCTTGGGTTTCTGGAAAAGAACAGTGGTCAGCTCAGCTTACACCCCCTCCAACACCAGCTCTGGAAGTAATTGGCAGGGACCTGGATCCAGGCTGCTTCTTCACAAAAGGAAGAGAAAGTCTCTTGGCTGATGTACAGCAGCATGATTAGCAGTTGAACAAGGGAAGAATGTGAAAATATAAGAATATAGAGCACTGCAATGAAAAAGTGGCTATAGCTCCAAAAACTGGCCACAAGTAGACATTTACATTTAAATGAATTAAAATTAAATACATTCTAAAATTTAGTTCTTCAATCACCACAGTCACTTTCTAAGAGCTCATGAACCAAATGGGTCTAGTGGTTATTTTATTGGATGGCACAGATATAGAATATTTTCATCATCACAGAAGGTCCTATTGAACAGCACTGCCCTAGAGATCTATTTGGATGAATTGATACGCATGGTATAAAAAGGGAGGTGGTAGGGAGGGGGTGAACTAAAGCACCATGTTTTCAAGCTCAGTTCAGTTATTTATTATACCTGACTCCCTATAAAACCCACTGCTTTCAAGTTGATTCTAAGTAGAACTGCCCCCGTAGGGTTTCTAATGCTGTCATCTTCAAGGAAGCAGACTGCATGCAACAGCTTCCTTCCTTGGAGCAGCTAGTGGGTTCAAGCTACCAACTTTCAATCAGCAGCTGATCACTTAACCACTGTGGCACCAGTGCCCCTCTGACCCCCTATAGGGGTCAGAAAGCAGAAAGCATATTTTCATGAAGGGCTTGTAGGTCCTGGAGCACAGGCTGTACTGTTTTGGGGGTCAGTCAACAAAATCCCTAACCACAGAGCCAGAGATTCTTTCCTATTTCACCATGGGATGTAGTTTGGTACCATGAGGACTGAAGAAGTAATGACACCACCAGCATCTTTAAAGTTCATGGGAAAATAGAGCTAAGCATGGTAGTCACAGCCTCACAAACATCACTGGCAGCAGGGAGAGTGGTGAGACACTGCCTTTAATGGTTTATAAACCAAAACCAAACCAAATCAGGTCCCCTTGAGCCAATTCCAACTCATGGTGACCTCCTGTGCATCAGCATAGAACTGTGCTTCATAGGGGTTTCAATGCCTGATTTTCAGAAGTATATCACCAGGTCTTTCTTCTGAGGCACTTTTGGGTAGGCTTGAACCACCAACATTTTAGTTAGCAGACAAACACATTAGTTACATTTGCACCACTGAAGGACTTCAGTTTATAAACCAAAAACCAAACTCACTGCCATTGAGTCAATGCCAACTCATAGTGACCCCCATTGGGTTTCCAAGGCTGTGAATCTCTACAGAAGCAGACTGCCTCATCTTTCTTCCACAGAGCGGCTGGTGGCTTTGAACCACTGGCCTTTTGGACAGCAGCCAAATGCCTTAAACACTATATCACCAGAACTTCTTCAGTTTATAAAAAGGATATCCATTGTGAGGACAGAGCAGAACATGTAAGCACATGTGAGAGTTCCCCTTGAAACTCAAAGAATAAATTGTGGAGATCTTTGAGGGGACTAGGATTCGTTGAGTAGAAGCTGTGAAACAGATTTCAATAGTAATGTAATCACCTTTGAACCTGGAGGTACCTAAAGACTTGGGGCCTTTAGATTACACTAAAAAGTTATACATAAAATCAACTTTTGCAAACAAGTGAATCAATATAACTAAAACATTGTTTCAATCAATGTTCCACTTCTTTTGAGACTGGCATTGTGTACTTATTCCTGTCATCCTCCTCCTATTTACCCTTTCTCTGCCTCCTCTCCACAGATATAATAAAGTCTCAATACATATTATAGTATATGCACATGTACATTTACATTATTGCATATTGTTGTTGTTGTTGTTGTTATGTGCCGTCGAGTCGGCCCTGACTCATAGCGATCCCTCCTTGGGTTTCCGAGGCA